GAGAAATTTTGGAACCAATTCCCGAAACGAAGTAAGCCGCCAGTCTGCCTCCCTAAGTCAGAGGCACATACATATAGGCATATGACGTTTAGAATTGGTATTTGGCCCTTGGTGAAGGCAGCATGTCTATCACACGCAAATACAAGAGGAGCATGTTAAAATGAATAAGACTCACTTGCAATTCAGTGTTCACTTATACATAGAATTGCACAACACGCATGTAGATGGCAATTCACCAGGAACAAAAGTCCAGGAGTTGCAGATTTAAAGGCCCAAAGCATGGCACAGACACATGTGTCCCTAGGACACACGTGGGTATCTGTTCGGTCAGGTGTCACAATGACCTGTTCTAATAGGAACAGTGGAAATCCTCACAGAGTGGGGCAAATCTGATAATGCAAAGCAAACTGGAGATTCCTAAGCAACCCCAAAAGACAGATCTAGATTTATATAGATATATATCTATACGTGTATATATCGATAATATATCAGTGACTGAAGCAAGGTAAATGCCGTGGATGGCGAAGAGAATGAGGTGCAGCCCTGTGGAAAGGTGCATAGATGCCCAGGTACTGCAGTGAACTAGTCTGGATGTTCTTGCCCTTATAGACGGGTCAACACCAGAGTCACAGGGTGCATATCCAGTTCTCCTGGCTAACCTGATATTTTAGGTTGTTTAAATATACAGCCTCTCTCCTTTTGGGCCAGAAACCCTACTCTTCCATTAAAACCATGGGTAGAATAAATTTAATTATATTCAGATTTCTTTCCCCTCATAGAATTGTAGGAAAAGATTCCAACATTGTTCCAACTCAATATTCTAAATAAGTTTCTGCAAAATACTGTTTCTAAATGGTGGCAAGGTCATAAATTTAGGACAGATTGTTAAACTTTGGTCCTAGAAGAAAAGGGGCCAAACACAAGCATCTTCTAGAGAAGAAATAAGATAAATATGAAATAAAAGTACAACACCCCCCAGCCCCCCAGGAATATAGAGACATAGGCAAGGGAAGCACAATGCGTGTTAGATGGATAGAAAGACGGATGGATAGATGAATGGACAGTGGACAGACAGATGGGATTGGGTTCTCTCTAGTGACTTGTCACAAGCCAGGGAAAGATTAGCCTTTTTCAGAAATTAGTAACAGAGCCCCCTCATGGGCCAGTGGTCGATGGGACACCCAGGTTCTCGGGATACAGTAGATGAACCGTGTGACATATCCTGGCTGTGAAACAGAAGGAGCCCCTTCACCAGATGTACATGAAGCAGAAAACTTCCCACTCATGCACAGAGTCTGAAGGAGGCCCTATGCTTGCCCTGTGGTCTTCTCAGGCAGGCATGACCAGGTCTTAGCAGTATCAGGAGGGGTCAGATTTTGCGTTGACCCATCTCTGGACTTGAAAGTCCTCTGGATTTCGAGCATGTTGTTCAGCTAATCCCCTTCAGTCTCCAAACCCAACTGTAGAACTAGTAACATGTGGACCATGCCCCTCTGGTTCAATAACGTGCTGATGGCTCAGAGAACTTGGGGAAACATGTTTGCTGATTTGTTAGAAAGGATGCATAAATGATACAAATGATAAGCCAGATGAAGCAGTCTGGAAGGGTCCCGAGAGCAGGCTTCTGTCCCCATGGAGTTGGGGTGTGCTATCCTCCCAGTATATGGATGTGTTCAGCAACCCACAAGCTCTCTGAACCCTGTAATTCAGGGGTTTTTACAGAGGCAGCATCATATAAGCATGACAGATTACAAAATCAATCTCCAACTTCTGTCCCCTCTCCCCAAAAGGAGCAGATGGAGCTGAAAATTCCAAGCTGCTAATCAGGCTTTGGTCTTTCTGGTGACCAGCTCCCATCTTGAAGTTATCCAAGAGCCTACCAAGAGTCGCTTTATTAGAACAAAGATATTCCTACCGGGAAATTCCAAGGAATGTTAGAAGCTTTGTGTTGGGGACTGAGGTCAAAGACCAATAGTAAAACAAAAGATGCTCCTGATCTGATACCTAAACTCAGGGAGTCACAAAGGCTTCGGGAGCTCTGTGCCAGGTACCAGGGATGAAGACCAAATGTGCATTTCTCATTACGTCACATTATCACAGAACCTTCCGTCAAAGGCGTGGCCATGAGTCCTCCACGTCATTGTGCGAGACTCTCACCCAAGTGTCAGCCGACGTGCCACATGCCAGATGAGCCACAACGTAAATGAGTCACACAAAACGTCTGCCCATCCCAAGCAAAGGAATGCTGAGTTAAGGTCTTAGTAATAACAGCACCACATCTGGGCTCAGTTACGCAATGTGCATACCTGGGTACGCCGCCCAGTCACACACCCTCACGCCTTGCTCTGTGTTCCAGCTCGCTCTGTCTCCGTAGACATCAGAGGTAGATATAGTTTCTATAAACAGGGTATTATGGGTTTTCTGTTTTAATTTGCTATAGGCCATATGGGTGAGTTAGAAAGAGACAAAGAGGGGGGGAAGTGAGGAAGCCCCTCCAGGGGATGGCTATGCCATAATCCCTTCTCCACTCGGGATTTCAGTGATGCCCACATAGCCATCCAGCAAGTTGCTCAGGCTACTGGTCTGGTACTCAGACAATGCAGGTGGGCACTGTGGGATCCAGCCACCTTGACCACCATGCCACCAGCTGGCCCAGTTGTTTACTGGCTTTTAGGGAGCATTTAAATACACTTTTAAAAAACCCTGGCTTGTAAGCTTGATCCTTATGACAGCAAAGATGGATCCTTAGCTAGTCTCAGAAAAACCAAAACTATAAAGTGAATATAAAGATGCACGACAATAACTTACTGCACAGTGATTCAGGGTTCACACCATTCTCCACAATCCAGTGAAGTGAACTGCATTACACAGTTTCAAATGGTTTCTCATTTCTCAGAAACATTTGGTAAATATGTCCATTATTTGCTGTGAGAACAGCACTCAAAAAGCAGAAGGATATTCACATAAGATAGTTCATTCATACTTGGCAACTTCTTAAAGATGTGTATTACCCTTGTAACAACCCCTCAAGCAGGGGTCACGGGAGGGGATGTGGGTGCCTGTGGCAGTTCAACCCTTTTAGCAACACCTTACATCAATACCCAGGCCAACGGTGGAAAAAATACCAGTGACCACATGACCAGGTTCTATGAGATAGGTTTGTTTTCACTCAATGTACATTTAGCTCCCAGAAAAATCTTTTTTACTTTTCAGCCCATGCATTCCAGATTCGACTTGAGACATAGCTGCATTATACTTAAGAGTCACTGCAAACTTTCAACACCAGTTGATCCCAAATGGCCCAGCAAGCTAATCTGTGTACATGGGTCTTCTGGCTCTAGTAGGGGTCAGGTTGAGGGTGGACCAAGGCCATGTTCACCCTCACTTTCAGGTGCTGTTAGTGTCCAGGGCTGACTCATCTGGAGCACACTTTCTACAAGAGGTGCCACTTCCTCTTCATCCAGAGAGACCTCAGAGTCGGTTGCCCTAGAGCTACTTAAAGGTGCCAGATCCACTTCATGGGAGATCTGAACATCCCCATCAAGGTGGCCTCAGGTTCATCCTTAAAACCAACCTGGGACCAGCAGTTGGCATAATGGCTATGTCACTGGACTCCCATGTAGTCAACCGCAGTTCAAGTCCTGGACCCATTGGCTTAAACTCACGCTGGGCGTGTGTGCATGCCCAAGATACCAAGAAGAGAACGGAGGAGAATGGATTGCAGTGTGACCATCCCCTCGGGAGACTGATTTCTTGCTTTCTATCTCTCTGTCTCTCTATCTCTCTCTTTCTAGTGAGCATATGCACCCTATAGTAAAAATCTCTCAAAAAATAAATAAATAAATAAACCCAACCTGAGCCAGTAGGTGGCATAGTGGTTAAGGCTCTGGACTCTCACATGGTCAACCACAGTTCAAGTCCCAACCAGTGGCTTTAAAATCACACCAGGTGTGAGTGTGTGCATGCCCAAAATCCTGAGAGGAAAATGAAGGCGAAAAGATTACAGTGTGGCCATCCTCCTGGGGAGGTGGTGATTTCTCACTTTCTCTCTCTCTCTCTCTCTCTCTCTCTCTCTGGCAAGTGTATGTGCCTTATAGCAAAAATCTGTGTTAAAAACAAAATAAAAGGAGACCAGCAGGTGGTATGGTGGTTAAGGCAACGGGCAC